GATTGGCAGGACCCCCGGCAGAAGAGTAGTCGCGGGGCCTCCAACGGGACAGGACATGGAGTAGGGGCTTGAGAGGGGAATCGAGAGGTGACCCGAAAGGGGACTCGAGAGGGAACTTGAGAGGAGACTCGAGAGGGAACTCGAGAGGAAACTCGAGAGGAGACTTGAGGGGAGACTTGAGAGGAAACTGGAGAGCGGACTCGAGAGGTGGCTTAAGAGGGGGCTCGAGAGGGGACTCGAGAGGGAACTTGAGCGGGGACTCGAGAGGGAACTTGAGCGGGGACTCGAGAGGAAACTGGAGAGGGGACTAGAGAAGGGACTAGAGAAGGGACTTGGGAAGGGACTAGAGGAGGGACTAGAGAGGGGACTAGGGAAGGGACTAGGGAAGGGACTAGAGTAGGGACTAGGGAAGGGACTAGGGAAGGGACTGGAGGAGGGACTGGAGAGGGGACTAGAGAGGGGACTAGAGAAGGGACTACAGGAGGGACTAGAGAGGGGACTAGAGAAGGGACTAGGGAAGTGACTAGAGGAGGGACTTGAGAAGGGACTTGAGAAGGGAATTGAGTAGNAGGCTTTTGACCGAGTTAACCATCATAAACTGTTTTTAAAATTGAGACAAAGGGGTGTGCCTAACTTGGCATACCAATAAGCCAGGATCCTAATTATGCTGTTAGGCACACCCCTTTGTCTCAATTTTAAAAACAGTTTATGATGGTTAACTCGGTCAAAAGCCTTAGAGGCATCAATACAACCAATCAGAAAAGTGGAATTCTGTCTATGTTTCTATCATTTCCTTCAAAGCATAGACGCATAGCTCAGTACCATGCTTGGCCTTGAAGCCAAACTGGTTATCCGAGGTACATAAATAAGAACATAATCTATCTAACAAAATTCTTTCCAGGACTTTGGATAACACGCTTCATCAACATAATGTGATATTTGGCACTCCTAAAGTCTACCCTTATGACAGTTGTTTTTTAATTAAGCTATTTCACTACTGATGTTATGTAGAATTTGTGAAAAACAGCGAGGGCCAACATATTCTGTTTTTTGAATGTATTTTAGATACCAGCTGGGTGGTGACCTTCTTAGAGGCCCAACTTTTTAATAACAGACCAACTTGATCCTGCAGCAGGAGAAGCTGCTGACCAACGCTCTTCACTCCCTCTGTGGTTCGGATCGTCCCTTGTCCCAAGATGTCCTCCAGCTCTGCCACCGTGTCACATTCTGAGAAAAACAGAAGCTACAGTAAAACTGCTGATATAAGGCATGTACCTGTAAGTTCAGACATAGCTGTTGAAGAAAGCTTCCAGCTTTTGAAGATGTAAGTATTACTATTAGTGGTAAAATAGGCTGCTGATTGTAATTGGTTGCATTTAAAAGGTATTTACCATTTATTATAGGGCTTTCTCCGGTTTTAATGCAGTCCAAAGCCAGATAAGAGACCTCATAGCCCCTCACTGTTTCTTGTAGTAAGGACATACTTGATTCAGATTCAGCAAACCTGAAAAAAAGAGAAAATCGATCTGAAAAACACATTGATCAATTTAACTGCCCACTTTTGAGACTGGCAGTGGCTATTCAATCAATAGGAAATTATTTTTTGTTTATATTTTTAAACTCTATTCATGATCTCTTACCCCTCTTGGTCGTTTGCCTTATCTTCTTTGCTAATACTGTCTTCTCTAGCCATCTGCTCACGGTCCAGTTTGTCTCTGGCTTCAACCAACGCGGCTCGATTCTCCTCAATCATCAGGTCCAAAAGAGCTCTGGCCTCAGGCACTGCACTGCAGAGAGCTTGAGCCTGGAAAACAAAACAAAGCAGCCTTATAATTACACAACAAAGTCATAGATTCAAAGTGAAGTCAAAGAAAGAGAATGAAGTATTTTCTGCCATATTTTGATGTTACAAAAGTTTTGAATACATAGTTTACTATTTGAACATCACCTTGTGTATGACAGTGGGGAGCAGCACGCTGCAGGGGGACTGGGGCACGGGGGGGACGGGGCTCCTCTGGGCCTCCAGCAGCTCAGTGATCTCTCTCTCCCTCTGATACAGACTCTCCTTCAGCTCCTCCAGGCGGGCTTTAGCCCCCTCCAGTGGCTGCTCCGAGTCATTGCAAGCCTGCATTAAAAGTGCAATCAGTAAAGTCAAAACACACATATAGATTTGTTCATGGAGATAGTTTGTTTTTATCTGCTCATGTTTGAGATTTGTTTCAAGTTTTATTTGTACATTTTTTGAAAGACAGTTTGGACTGAGACACATTTAATGGAAGCCAAACCAAAATGATATAAGAGAAATATTTACATTTAAACATGTTTTTTAAATGTACTAATAAGTCATTTTGACCCACATACAGTCCCTCAGAAGGTGTATCTGTCTTTTTATTGGATTCTTTATTTACATGTTTTTAATTTTACATGCACCTCAGATATGAGCTGCAGACAGCCACTATAACCAATTCCAACCCACCACAGTCTGTTGCTGAGCTGAAAGTCCATTGTTCTCTGTGCTTTCACCTTCCTCAGCAGCTTCCTGCTGCTCCTGGGATGATGCCATCAACATATCTTGTATTTTCCCAACTTCTTGTCGGGCCATTTGCAGCTCCTGCAGTGCTATTCAGGGTCCCAGGTGGTGAATACAGGTGTTAGTATGTTAAGGTCAGGGATTGCGCTGACACACATACATGTCAGTCTGCTGACTCACTGGAGGCCTGGTGGCTGTGCAGGACATCCAGCCTGGTTGAGAACAGCTCCAGCATTTTGCTCTAAACGAAAAGCAGGAATCATTATGTAATGATATGTCTTACATCAGTTGTCTGTATTCTTAAATATGAACCTAGGGGTTGCTAGGCACGCTGAAAGAATTAAGAATTGTTGACGCCTGCCAGATTCCTATGCAACCTTTTCTCTGTGCCACTGGAGCGCCTCCTCTTTACTCCTCCTCCTCTCAGATCTCTGCTCCTCCAGTAGCTGCTCGTTCCGTGTATTCAAGGCCTGGAGGAAACAGGATAGGGCAAGCACAGAAACACATACAAAAACGAATTATTATAATTAAAACAAGCTTTTTTTATGTCCCAACCATCAGGCCTGTAACATTTGAACCGGAATGATTAATACATTTGTATGTAATCAGAGAGTTTGACTGTATTGTTGAATTAGTCAAAACAAAGCATGCTACATATGAGCTGCAGGAGTTGTAGGGGAGTGAGCCAGTAGCCTACTAATAAGGATGGAAATAGGGAAGGAAGTTGGTTGGTTGGGTTTAAAATAATACTTTAGACCCTCAGGTATAAGAGCTATTGAAGGAAAGACAGACTGACTCGTGACCTTCACTGACCTCGACTCTCCTCTCCCAGTCAGCGTTCCTCTTCTCCACTTTATCCTGGTAGACGTCTAAGATTCTCCTCAGAATGTTCAACTTGTTTTGGTGATGAGATCTCAGCCTCTGCACGGTCCACTCCTGATCAAAGACACAATTTCTTTAACTGTAATGAGTTAGGTCTCTCTCTCACACCCACAAAGACGGACACACCTCACCTGGTTCCTGCGTGCTGTGAGCTGAAAGTTCTCCTCTAACTCATGCACCTTTTCCAGGTGTTTTCTCTTCAATGCTCCCATGTCCTCAGCTATCTGTTTTGGGGTACATGGTAACACACACAAACATCTTATACAGTAAACACAAAATAGCATCATGGTTATTGATCAAATGGCTTCAGGGCAGCAGCATCAGAGCAACCATGTGAGCGTGAGGAAGGACACCGTGTCTGACAGTGACTTCATTGTGTCTGCATGCCCTTCTCCAAAGAGCTGGAAAAATAAATATAAAGTTTGGGGTCATGCTTGTTTTTGTTTAGTGGTATAAACTGATCTATTCTGAATATGGATGCTGTGATACAGTGCTTTTTTGTGCTGCTTCCTTGTTTTGACGCTCTTTATTTTACCTGATTGATGCAGCGCTCAGCTGACTCGTAGGGGATGTAGATCTTTACATCTTGTGACCTATCAGCTTCACTGCTGTCTGAGAGCTGAGATTCTGATGATCCTGCAGAAATAACATGCTTTAAATCACCATTCAGCTCAGAGCATTCATGCAAAATGATATTTAGCAATATGCCTTTCAACCTTTATAACAGGTGTAAAAAGTGAAAACAGGATTTGTAATGAATTACTCCTGCTCAATTCAACACATGATCAAGTCAAATAATATTATGTGTTAAGTTAATATTTAATAGATTACCATTTCAAACATTTGAATCCAGCTATTCCAAAAACGTATTTTTGATATATGTATTATTTTGAGACGGCTGTTACATAATGTTAACTTCAGACCTATGCATTAGCTCAGCTTCTCTGAAAGCAGAACAGTACATTTCTTACAGAGAAGCATATTTTGTATTTTATTCCATTCTCCCCTTGTACCTAAATCACTTAATTATTAACTGTGTTAAAGTCCACTTCTTGTAGACAACTCATGTTACAACCTCCAGGCTGTAAAAGTACCATAAACATTATTATGTCATGCAGCATCATATGTTTCCACCACATGACACGTTTGATAAAAAATAAAAAGCTTTAAATGTCTGTTCTGCTTTCAGGGAAGATGCCTGGGTCTGAAATTTACTTTTATGTAACTTGGTTACACATCATATAATGTATAAAGTAACTGTAAAGTAACATTTCTTACATGTTGATGTTTTAAAGTAACAAGCCATAGTGATTTGAACGTTTGTTAATGGTAAGCAAAAGGAATTTATGAGAAATCCTGTCTCTTAATCATAACCCTCCTCTAGTCACTTCCCTAGTCCATTCTCTAGTCCCTTCCCTAGTCCCTTCCCTAGTCCCTTCCCTAGTCCCCTCTCCAGTTTCCTCTCCAGTTTCCTCTCGAGTCCCCGCTCAAGTTCCCTCTCGAGTCCCCCCTCGAGCCCCCTCTCAAGCCACCTCTCGAGTCCCGTCTCCAGTTTCCTCTCAAGTCCCCTCTCAAGTCTCCCCTCAAGCCTCCTCTCGAGTTCCCTCTCAAGTCTCCTCTCGAGTCCCCTCTCAAGTCTCCTCTCGAGTTCCCTCTCAAGTTCCCTCTCGAGTCCCCTCTCAAGTCCTTACTTCATGTCCTGTGCCGTTGGAGGCCCCGCCGACTATACTCTTCTGCCGGGGGTCCTGCCAATCCTATGTCCTGTGCCGTTGGATGCCCCGCCGACTACTCTTCTGCCGGGGGTCCTGCCAACCCTATGTCCTGTGCCGTTGGAGGCCCCGCCGACTACTCTTCTGCCGGGGGTCCTGCCAACCCTATGTCCTGTGCCATTGGAGGCCCCGCCGACTACTCTTCTGCCGGGGGTTCTGCCAACTCTATGTCCTGTGCCGTTGGAGGCCCCGCCGACTACTCTCCTGCCGGGGGTCCTGCCAGCCCTATGTCCTGTGCCACTGGAGACCCCATCAACTACTCTTCTACCGGGGGCCCTGCCAATCCCATGTCCTGTTTCGTTGGAAGCCTTGACATCACCTGTATCGCTGGGGGTCCTGCCAACTCCTTGTCCTCTTCCGTGGAAAATCTTGCCAACACCAGTTCCACCGGCTCCGGTTCCTGTCCGGTCAACAC